GAAAGCAGGTGGTATCCCGTCTTTACCGTATACAGACCTGAGTCAGAGCAATGCCATATTAACTTGTCAGGACGAGGAGTAGCAGGTAAAGGAATAGACAATATCAGTTTAACACAATTAGAAGTGAACAAAGTAGTAATCAACTCGTTATTCCAAGTCTGAGAAATCGGATGAATAAGTGAGGCCACAAACAGATTGCCCACCTGAACTCCAGGCAGCAGGGAAGGAGAGGAAGGGGGAGAAGAAGGTAGCCATCTGTCCTCCAAAATGCGTATGGTTGTATGGTTGTACCACACCCGACCTGCCAACGCAGTCCCTTCAGCAAGAGCTTACAACCTTCTAGAACCCCTTGCCACACCCAAGAGGGACGAGTCCCTGACGTTGCAATAAGGAAGTTGCAATGGGGATGGTATCTGGCCTTTTAAATCCGAGCAAGAGTCGATTGGGGAGACATAAGGATCTTCCAACCTTGTTTGGCTAGCATGGCAATGTTGAATAGATCGAAGTCCCGAAATCCAAGCCCTCTACGAAATTTACTAACACAAAATGCTGGCCATGCTATCCAATGGATCCCTTTCTCCTTGTCTTGACTCGCCCACCAGAATTTAGAGAGTTGACCATTCATTCTTCGACAGGAAGTGGCTGGTAACCGAAAAGACATCATCGCATACACAGGTGTAGCAGATCCTTTGCTGCTAGCAAGAGAGATTTGGATTTCGAGCCCTGAATGCATTTAGTGAGGGCCTCCTCTATGAACCGAAAAGTCTGAACTTGGACCTTTGGATCTGAGCCGGTAACCCAAGGTATTTGTCCAATTCTCCAATTGAATCGACACCCAAAGTGGCTACCAATGCAACACCTTCCTAGGCGGAAACATTAGTACTAAAGCATACCTTGGACTTCTGGAGATTAATTTTCTGCCCACTAGTCGCCTCATAAAGGTTAAACAAATGCAGAAGCTGGTTGCACTTCGAGGAAGAAGCTCTCAGAAACAAATAAGTATCGTCAGCAAAAAAATAAGTATGAAGTAACTGGAGCAAAGCGGTGGATTTTAAGGCCATGTAGTTGCTTGGCAGCAAGAACATTAGAGATCATAGTGGAAAAAGCTTCTGTATAAAGAGCAAATAGCAAAGGGGATAGAGGATCACCTTGACGGATGCCTCGTTCTGGTCGGAAGTAGCCATGTATGTTGCCATTGAGAATCAAACAGAAGGAAACGGTCGTGACACAAGCCTTGACTATCTTGATCCAGTCCAACGCAAAGCCCAGCGACTCCAAAACAGCAAATAGGAAGCCCCATTCAATCCGATCATATGCTTTTTCCATGTCTAGCTTCAGGGCCATCCATTTGTCCCAACCTTCCGACTTCGTCTTGAGAAAGTGCATTACTTCATGGGAAATGAGGATATTATCGGAGATGTCCTACCCTTTGACAAACCCATTCTGGCAATCACTCACAACCGAAGGGAGCACCTGACTCAATCGGGAAGATAACACCTTGGATATGACCTTATAAAAGACCTGACATAGGCCTATTGGTCTCATCTGTCTCATGGAATCTGCATTGGGGATCTTAGGAATCAGTGTGATCAGTGTATGATTAAAATTATGAAGAAGCCTACCCGACCTGGGACAAGGCTGCCACACAAACCGAATTACCAACAATTTCCCAATATGCTTGATAGAAAGCTGCTGTAAATCCGTCGGATCCCGGAGCTTGGGATGCCCCGATGCTGAACACTGCTTGTTTAATCTCATCCCGGGAAAAGGGAGAAGTTAGCAGGAAATTATGATTCGAGCTTACCCTTCTCGGTAGGCTAGGGCTGTCACTAGGAAGTGAAAAGGGTTCCCCTTAGATGAAAATAGATTTTTAAAATTAGAAACAGAGACATTACCCTTGGCTGTTTCCTCAACATGGATTCCACCTGCTTCATCCCGAAGTAGTTCGATCTGATTGTGTCTTCGCCGTTGAGCTGCAGTGGCGTGGAAGTAGCCCGTGTTGGCATCACCATAGTGTAGCCAATTATTCTCTGACTTCTGCTTCCAGTATACTTCTTCCTGCCGATACGCGACAGTCAGTTGAGCTTCTAAACCTTCTATGATAGTCCGGGCTAAAGCAGATCGGTCCCTTTCAGCCTCGATAGCTTGACGAAGTTCTCGAATCTGCCTTGCTGAGTTAGTAGTGCCATGGTACGCCCAAGCAACAAACTGATGGCGAGCTGATTTCAACATGGAGAAAAGTCGAAATTGAGGTGTGCCCGCAACAACTTCTTGCCAGGCGTGCAGAACTATGTTCTTGGCCACATCAAGGGGAGTCCATCTGTCATCAAACAGGAACCAGGGTTTACCTTTACCCCAGCCAGGGACTAACTGTAGGAGAAGCATCCTGTGATCTGATCTAAGGTCAGTCAAATGAGAGACCTGCACGTTTGGCCAAGAATGTAAAATTAGTTCGGATCCTAAACCGCGATCAAGACGTGCAAGAATATGGGTAGAGAGGCCCTGCCGATTTGACCAAGTGAAGGGGGGACCTCTGAAACCCAAATCAAAAAGCCCTGCAGTATCAATGAATGAATGAAAATGATCCATGCTAGCAAAAGAAGGTGGGCGTCCCCCCTGTTTCTCATATGCAAAGAGAATGCAATTAAAATCACCAAGAACAAGAGTGGGTAGCGAACACAACGAGATCAAATTGACTAGGTCATTAAATTGGGAGATGCGAGTATTTACATCGTAGTTTAGATGGACAAAGAAGATATCAATACTACCCCAAACTAGATGTTGAATCTCTACATGAATAAAGAATGCAGCTTCTCCTACCACACGACACTGAATGTTAGGTGCATTGGCCAAAGCTAGACCGACAGCCCTTCCTACAGGAGACACACAACTAATGACTACATAGCCTAACCGATTAAGTTTCTTATGTACAAAGTCATCATCCCGCTTCATTTCACTTAAAACATATAATCGAGGGCGAGAAATGACAAATGGCTCCAAAGAGCGAGGGAATTTTCCGGGTAGAGCCAAGTCCCCGACAATTCTAGGCGAGGATGTTCATTTATCACGTTGGGACCAGTCTGGGCTGGTTGCCACCACCACATCATTGTTATTGATATCCTGTCCTAGGGGGCTGTACTCAAGTTTCTGCTTCTTGGTTTCAGGGATGTGCAGCACAGGGTCAGCCGTAGCTTGCCTTCCACGGGCAGACTTAGTTCGACGGTCGCTGCGTCGACAGCAGAAGAAGTCCCCAGACTTGTAGCAGGAACAAGGCTGGAGGTGCCTTGTCCTATTTGGGGAATCGACTCCCTCTCTTTGCGAACCCAGGTCAGATGGCGACGACCAAGCAAGTTCCTCTCATTCACCTTGCGAGCAGCAGGCGGTGGGTACTTCCCAGAATGGAAGATAGTGGGGAACTCTCGACATTTGTTCAGCCACATCTGGGGAAATTGCCACCCATGGCGCCAGATTGATCATGAATTTCGCCAAGATCCATGGCGCCATTCTCAGAACCCTGTTCAAATCCCCCTCATTGGGGAAGAAAAATTGTAGTAACTCTTCAGCTGAAGGGAGAATAGAGACTGGCCCGTCGTAGTCCCAGAGACCCCTTAGGGTCGTAAGCAGATGGCGAATCGGAGGGGATGGCCCAATTATTTTGCCCAGCAGAGATAGAGCATTCCGCTCTCCCCCGGGCGCGACATCGTCCTCGCCAAATAGCAGCACATTCCCCGCAGCCATGGATCTGGCAAATCCGAATCGGTATTTACAAAGCGGTGCCTCAACGAAAAGAGAAAACTGGGAAAGGAGCGAGATGACCAGAGGTGAAGAGGCTCCAGGAAGGGCTTAAATAGCCCCATGGAGTCGACGACCGATTCCGGCGGCCCACGACGGCCAACGTGCTAGTTACGGCGATTCGCACTCTGGCGATGTCCTCGCTCCCACTCGTCACGATGAAGCGGAATTGGGAGAGGATGTTTGTTTTTTTTCTTTTTTCTTTTGAGACCTCCTCTAACGCTTTTCACATTAATAACCATATCTTTGGACTGTAACTATTTACTAACCAAATTTGTTGAATGCAATATTTCATACCAAATAACTAATGAAACAATTAGGGATGGCAATGGGTCGGGTTGGGTCGGGTTTTGCCAAACCCAAACCCAAATTCATGGGTTTATCTGTGAAAAAAACCCGGGGTAAAACCCACTGGGTTTGAAAAACTCAAATCTAACCCAACCCGCTGGGTATCCGTGGGTTCATGGGTACCCACAGGTTTTTGTCGTAAAAAATTTACAGTAACAAGTTCCTATCAAAATTAAAGTCAAATATCAATCTCTCAATACAAATTATCCATATATAAAACACTATTCTAGAAAATTCAAGGAAATCACAAATTAACTATACAAATTGTTCAACACCAATCTAGAAAACTCGATAAAATTGAAGCAAATCACAAATTATCCATAAATAACATGATTAATTGAAAGCTTCTTCCTTTCAATTAAGTTTCTTCACTCTCCACTCGATGACATCAACTTCATTCTACACAATTAGAAAGAAAAAATTAGACATGTCTCCACAAACATAAATAAGATTAGTTGTTTAGAATATTAGATATACCGAGAGAATTTACTATATGAGTGTGGACAGGTACCCATGGGTCGGGTTTACCTAAACCCAAACCCAACCCAACCCGGTGAATAGTGAACGGGTTTAAACCCAAACCTGGCCCAAAACCCGTCAACACGGATTTTACCCGCGTTGACCGGATTGGGTCGGGTAGGTACCCGTGGGTTTGGGTTTTGTTGCCATCCCTAGAAACAATAAACTCAAAATTACCAAGTTCATTTTGTGCTAACGATTTAGCTTCACTTCTAATTCTCTAATCGCCATCAAGATCGGCTATTTGAAGTAAGGTTTCTTTCACTTCTGACATTTGAAACCTAATTGTTTTTACACTTTCAACACGGTCTCCCAACGAGTAGATTATATTGGTTTCAAAATCAAATGTTTAACATTTCTTTTTTCAAAATAACCCATCTTTTATTGACATTTGAAAATATCGTATAAATTTATGAAAAATTTCAAAAAAAATTCTAACTTTACCACACGAATTAGCCATATCATATAATGTCAAATTAAGAATATGAGAAGCACGTGATGTGGAGAGACGAGGAAACTCAACCACTGGGGTTTTAATCTTGACTATAAAATAGATAAGAACAATAAGTCCTCAAAAAGCGTTAGATCATACAGCAGAAACCCAAATGTCCCCATGGACAAGAATGGTTTAAGCTTTAAAGAAAGATGAGACTAAGTGACAGATGCCTCTTCTTCTCATTTAACAGCACCCATGACAGGATTTTAGATTTGAACATAGACCACAATGTCAATTATGCAGCATGTACAATTTGCAAGGAATGCATATATACCAGAATTGATTATGGGTACAAGATGGCATAACGTGCTACTAGTTGTAACTCTTCAATCAACGCACAGTTGGAATCTTAGGTACAACTTGGTGGGTTTAGACATTTATATACAGCAGATGCAGGCTGCTTATACGCAGGTATACTGTTGATATCGACAAATCGAACTTCCCCAGGCTCAAAAGAGAGTTCATGATGCCTGCAACATAACGTGGTAGTGCTATTAATCAATAAAATCTAGTTGACTGCTATTTGTTCGAGAACTACCATTCCAAAAGGTGATGAAAGAAAAAGAAACTGAATGCAGTTGGTACCTTCGAAGGTCAAGGCCAACTAAACCAGCTTGCAAGACTGTTAAATTGTCAGAATCGGGAGACACAATTATGACTGTCTCTCCAGAATACTGGGTCTCCAGAATCGACATGAGTTGAGTGACGCGAACAAACACATCCTCGACACTCTCACTCGGTGTTCCATCGTCTATCGGAGGAGGCTTGTTTCTTGGGGAAACAGTATCTGATGCATACACCTGCGGACATTAAACCCATATGAGAGTTCAGAGTAGGGTCCCGAAAGCCATTCAGTGAACACACTACACATGAGTTTCCCCTCAATATCTTTGGAATTGACAAAGTTCATTAATGCACATCTTACCTCAGAGACAACTTCCAAGCTCCTGCCTTCATAACCTCCCAACCCACGAGCATCCAAGAAGCTATACTCAGGAACTATATAACTGCAACCCAAAATTCATTCATTCCTTCTGAATTCAAGAGTCACTCCTATCCTAATCACCCAAAACTCAATTGTGCGTTACCTCCTACTGATTCCATTAACTGCAGCTATGACTTCAGCGGCCTGGTAGGCCCTCTGGGTAATAGACGGCCAAATCCAGCAGCCATCGTCACAAGCTCCCATGGCCTTGAGTTTCAGAGCAGCTTTCACAGTCTGTTTTTTCCCCTTGTCCGAAAGACCGTTATCGACGGATGTTTTGGCAACAGGATTCGTGTTGATTATCCCCATGTCCTCATATTCAGATTCCCCAGCTCTTACCAAGTAGTATCTGTTCCAATCGCAACACCCAGTTAACGCATTTATGGGAAGAGAGAGATGAATTAAAGAATTTAACGTAAGGGGATTATATTTACGAGACAGGAAGCACCGATTGATGAGACGAAACGGTGGCATCTGGAAGAGGCCGCGGGCTTCGGCGATTTCCGCGGGAAGAGTCAGGGTTATCGCCGCGGCAGAGAGGGAGACCGCCGCATGAAGGAGGCGACGCCGATTTGTGGGCTCAAGTGGGAATGGGGAGTTCGTTGCGGAGATAGGTTTTACGGCGGCAGCGTCGGATGAGGGGGACGCCGGCACACCCGTGACTCTGGTTGTGACTGTTAGCATTTTGGCGGTTGGGCTATGGGAGGTTCCTTCCTGTCGTCCAAATCATTCCAATGTATCCAGTAGGCAGCGGGGCAATTTTTTTTTTCTGTGGCCATAGATATCAAAGGAATCGGCCCTTCTAAAAGCCGGGCCAAATATCTCTAAAAACTTGGCTATTGAAAAGCCAAAAAGTACTTTTGTGTAACATAAAAGCAGAAGCTCCGATTTGGAGCTTCTACGAAAATTTATTTTGAAAATACAAGATTATCCTTGTCATATTTTAATTTTATTTCAGAAAATATAATTTTTCATAATTTATATCATTTTAAAAATAAAATAAATTATAAAATCATATTATTTAGTATAAAAGAAATCTAACAAGATCCACTTTGACTATTTTTTATTGTTTAGAATTTTTATTCATATTTTATATTATAAGTCCTTTATAGTCATTTTACACAACCTCTTGTATTAAAAAGCACTTCTAATAGTTTTACAGCTAAACACTCAACTGTTTTTTTTTTAAAGTACTTATCTAAAAGCTCCAGCCAAAAGCTGCTTCTGCAAAAGCTACAGCAGGGCCAAACTAAGCTTACATTACGCTGGGATAAGTTTAGGGTTTTCTTCCTAATTCCACTAGAAAGTCCAAACTATTCTAAAAGTGCAATTTGTGTTATAAATTATTCAATATGACAAGTCTGGCACAAACTATGAGGAATTTTACAATGCTATATAGCATTGGTGCTATAACTTTTGTCTTTATGGTACAACTTGAAGTTGTACATTTAACGTTATGGTACAACTTTAGATTGTACTTATACTCTTTTGTACAAATTCTTTTATGGTACAACTTAAACTTGTACCTTCATGTGATGGTACAACTTTAAGTTATAAAGTTGTACCATAACATAACGATACAAATTCTTTTATAGTACAACCTTAATTTATACATTTAACATTATGATACAAATTTAAGTTGTACATTAAAGAACCAATACTTTATAGCATCGTATAAGTGATCCACAAACTATATGTGTTTCGTGAAATTTATGTCATAAACTTATTCAATATGACAAATCTGGCATAAACGACATAGAAGCTGACTAGATTTTTTTATAAATACTAACAGTCTACGCCGGTCAAGATTAACGAAAAAAATAGTTCGTACCAGATTTGTCATATTGAATAGTTTAGGACACAAGTGACATTTTTGACTAGTTTGGGCTTTCTAGTGGAATTAGCCCTATTTTGTATGAATAATTTTGCATCTCTATTCCAATAAAACTAGCATTCGGCTCTGTCCGTTGGCCGGTACAGTATATAACTTGAATGTGTATTGTATTATGTATCGAGAAAGTTCTGACTATACGGATGATTTTGACTTCTCATAAATTTGTTGTACCGTTGTGAAACCACTTGATTACCCGTCTAAAGTGGAATCTCTGGATGCTATGCCATCCCACTTCACTTCAAAAACCTGGAGTAGATTTGTTTGGCGGTTTTCCCAAAAACCACTCACAAAGCCTATATCAAGTAATTTTCTTAGTATTGTGTGTTTCTCTTATTCCACAATGCTCATCTTAGTAAAAACATCCCACTGAAGAATTACGCAGGTTGGAGGGCTTCTTGTTTTCGATATAAAGCTTTTCGCAATGCACATCATAGTAAAACCACCATACTATTAAAGCTCAATAAAGAACAACTGAAATTTATAAGTAGCTATCTTAAGAATCATGCTACTTTAAGCCAACAAACTAATCATGACAGCCAAGCTTCTAGTAGGCTGCCGCTGCACAATCTAAAAGTTTAAATATTGTAACAACAATGAACAAACCATTCACATACATCCCAGTCTGGAAAACAAAATACATATAAGCTTCACAATCTGGCCCTTCACTGCACAAAGCTTGTAGCAATACTATTTCACTTCCTTGGGGTCACAGTTGTTCCATGTTTCCTTTTCTGTCCTGTAAAGATTGTCCCTCGAAGAACCTCAGGAGTTGGCTTAGTCTTGTTGGTTTGCTCAAAGACCGGAGCTCCACTTGTGTGGAGTTGACTTCCTGTCTCACTCAATTGATACAATCATAATAGAGAAATAAGATAAAATGAAATGATGATATTAACCTGCTACACTCTTCTGCTATATGAATAGTGATATATTCATCACTTACCCAATTGGATCATGCTCCACACTAACCATTCAGATTGAGGATTCAGGAAGTTAAATTGAGTAAGTTTGACCTGTAATTTCAGTCTCATGTTCACAACTTGCTGGATTTGTGGAGGAATGAGGTGTTTCTTTCTCTAATTTGTTTGGAATGATGCATCAACCATAACCCAAAGAAACGCAGACCACTACGCTCCAAATTGCAAAATAAGCTTCACCATAACCTTCTTGCAAATAGAGTTTGACTCTAAAGCCAATATGGAATCAAACTGAAAATGTCATGCTTCTACATGCCTATTCCTCCAAATCAAGCAATCTCATGATTCCTATAACATCGAAACAACAAAATTGCAGACTGTAGTTTGTAGGAAAACAAAATAATGTTAGCAGCTTACTTGCCTGAGTGCTTCAGGGGGTCTTGGCTTGATTTTCGTTTAATGAAATTTCAGCATGGATTTCTGGGGAAATGTCATTATGCAATAAACAAAGCATATTAGAGAAGCGGGATATAAAGAACTGATTCATAAAAGAAGAGATCGATGTATGAACACAGGCAGGATAAAAATCCTACTACATAAAGATAAGCTTCATGTATCCTCATATGGAAACATGATTATTATGAGTTCCATTAACAATCTCATCTAAGAATACCAACACATCCACAAACTTCCTATCACTAAATAAGCCTAGCTTTAGGGACAACTTTGGAGGAACCATAAATGAATATGATGCTCTTATTGTGAACAAATTGACAGAGAAGCCAGAAAGGGTCAAGAATCACATAATCACCAAAAGAGTGGAGATGTTCGTTTGGGCTTTTAAATTGAGAAGTTCAATCAGAATGATACCCGGGATGATCTAATGAGGGCCATTCTCGAAGAGGTCGTCCAGTGTTTCGCGATTCACAGTGGGCTTAGTGTGCGATTTGTAGGTCGGCGTAGCCATAGGGTACCCCTTTCATTGTGCCCGACTATGAGTCGTTTCTTTAATTTTCGGACCTAGCTAAATTCCAGGATGTAACTAAACTACATATTTTTTCTAATCCATATACAATTATCTTTTGTAAAATTTTTTTTTCTTCTGTAAAAGCAGCCACAAGCAACATCCTTGCTGGGTAAGTTAGCAGGACAAAACCGACAAAAAATCAGCCAACACTTCACAACCACTACAGAGCCTAGAGCAAATTAAAATTAGCGAGCTCTCCATACATGACTAATCAGGCCACTCCAAATGAACCTCCTTGTTGCCACCAATTTCAGGAATTGTATAAATGAGGGATTTAGCTCAACTTCCTCATTTAAAATCCATATGATTTAAACATAGGATTTAAACCAACCCACTTGTTTGGTTATGGGCCATAGGAGTGGCCAATAGGATGGGATGGGATACCCTGTTTGGAGAGCAAAGTCCATCCCATGTTCCAAACCCATCAGGGTTAACGGGTACCTATTACCCATACGGGACGGATAATGGGTACCCAAACTACCCATACATACTTGTCCAATTAAAATGTTCGCCAACGAACTGCCGGTGAATGTGTTGTCTCCTGTTATGATTTTAAGAGATCATTACATATCTACTGGTCAATGCTATATTTTGTTAATGATCTTTTAAGCCGCAGTCTCAACAAGGATTGTTCCTTTCTTTTAGGCTAGTGGAAGAAGCTGACTATAGAAACGCTAAGGAATTGTTTGGTTCAAAGTCCAGCACCAATGAAAAGAACATTGATAATTTCATCCCCATATCCGAAAGTGACTTCTTGGAGTATGCAGAGCTCATTTCTCAAAGGCTCCGCCTGTATAAAGTGTGTTGATTTATAGCTTATTTATTTATTTATTTATTTATTTATTTATTTATTTGAAGGATAGATCCTTTTATTTTTGTGGGGTGCAAAAGGGAGGCCGCGTTTACTCAGGTTGGGTGATTGGGGCTGGGTTATATGATTTTTGTCAACGGGTATTATGGGTACTCGTATTATCCAAATAGGTAGTAACTTGTAACCTATGGGTACTTGTTGTAGAAAGCATTGATTCCAAATCTCATCCTGTTAAAAAAATGTGTATTTCGGTACCCGTAACCCTAAAAAAAGGAGAACAAGTATAGGTATTTCCAAATACGTGTTTCCTGTTTCTCACCCCTAACGGGCCAGGTATTGTTTAATAAGATTTTTAATTTTTAATGGCAAATTTGAAAATATCCCTTATCTACTTTATTATTGTTATTAAACATGGACTTATCTACTTCATGGACACACAAAAAGTCATACCCTTTGTTTTTCATTGTGTGTCTTCTTCCTTCTTATTCATCTGCTGCTGCCGCTCATCCACTCACCTGCAAAGCTGCCACGCGAGCTATCATCCAACACCGACTCACACAAAACACCACACTAGAAATCCCCTCTGGAGCCCAAGTTTTTAAATTATAAGGGGGGGGGGTGCAACATAGGGCAAGTAAGTTTTAATTATCAACCAGGGCCGGTCCATGTACCCCTACTTCAATCGCTTAGGTTGTTATCTAGCAAGCAACTTTTGGGTTTAGAACTAACGGAACTACAAACTAAACAAGCAAAGAAAAGTAAATAAAGGAAAATTCTAACTAAGAGAGCTTCACCCACGAGTTGCTTCCCCCTAACTAGCTACCATGACGCGTTGGATTGAATGGAGTCGTGTGGTGTAGGTGGTTGTGAACCACGAGGGTGAGCAACTAGCGATCGATTTGTCTCGGAATCAATTCACTAGCGATCGATTTGTCACGGAATCGATCCACTGACGACGTCTAGGAGAACCGCTAGGAGGAGCAACTAGTGATCCATTTGTCACGGGATGGATTCAATAGAGATCGATTTGTCACTGAATCGATCCTCTCACTCAGTCTCTAGGGGTTGCCTAGGTCTCTCCCTCAAACCGGAGTTTGAGCGACTTAATGACGACCAACTTAGATGCAAACTTGAGTAAAGGGGGATGTTCATCTCTAACCTAGATAGTAGGCACAAAGTGCCCAGGAAAACCAAACTTGTCAAGCCTACATAAAAAGGTGTGGTTTTCCTCTAATCTAGGTTAGGCAAGCACAAAAGATTTGGAAAGCACAACTAAGCACAATCACCATGAAACACCTCTAATACTCAAATTGATGCAGACCCGTACAAAATCATTCTTTCTAAACAAGTAATTACAAAGTATTAGTTAGGGATCTACAACACTCAAGAGAACAGAGTGAGTTTCTAGAGAGCGAAGTGA